AAAAAAAATTAAAAATTTTTTTTTCGCCTTTATTATTTTTCGATGATTTTTTTGTGTGGCTGGCATCGAAAATGGGAAAACAAATTTAAGAATTTTTTTTTCGCCTTTTTTATTTTTCGATGATTTTTTTGTGTGGCTGGCATCGAAAATGGAAAAAAAAATTGAAATTTTTTTTTTCCTTTTTTTATTTTTCGATGATTTTTTTTGTGGCTGGCATCGAAAATGGAAAAAAAAATTAAAAAATTTTTTTTCGCCTTTATTATTTTTCGATGATTTTTTTGTGTGGCTGGCATCGAAAAAGGGAAAAAAATTCAAGATTTTTTTTTTGTCTTTTTTTATTTTTCGATGATTTTTTGGTGTGGCTGGCATCGAAAATGGGAAAATAAAATTTAAGAAATTTTTTTTCGCCTTTTTTTATTACTGGCATCGAAAATGGGAAAACAAATTTAAGAATTTTTTTTTCGCCTTTTTTTTTTTTTCGATGATTTTTTGGTGTGGCTGGCACCGAAAAAGGGAAAAAAAATCAAGATTTTTTTTTGGTCTTGTTTATTTTTCAAGATTTTTTGTGGCTGGCATCGAAAATAGAATAAAAAGAAATAAATTTTTTTTCCATTTTTTTATTTTTCGATGATTTTTTTTGTGGCTGTTATCAAAAATGGAAAAAAAAAATTAAAATTTTCTTTTTCCCCTTTTTTATTTTTCGATGATTTTTTTGTGTGGCTGGCACCAAAAACGGGAAAAAAATCAGGATTTTTTTTTTTTGATGATTTTTTTTTGTGGCTGGCATCCAAAATGGAAAAAAAATTTTTAAATTTTTTATTTCCATTTTTTTATTTTTCGATGATTTTTTTTTGTGGCTGGCATCGAAAATGAAAAAAAAATAAATTTCCATTTTTTTTTATTTTTCGATGATTTTTTTGTGTGGCTGGCACCGAAAAAGGGAAAAAAAATCAAGAATTTTTTTTTGCCTTTTTTATTTTTCGATGATTTTTTTTTGTGGCTGGCATCGAAATGGAAAAAAAAAAAAAAAAATTCAATTTTTTTTATTTTTCGATGATTTTTTTTGTGGCTGGCATCAAAAATGGAAAAAAAAATTAAAAATTTTTTTTTCGCCTTTTTTTTATTTTTCGATGATTTTTTGGTGTGGGAAAATGGGAAAATAAAATTTAAGAATTTTTTTTTTTCGCCTTTTTCTATTTTTCGATGATTGTTTTGTGTAGCTGGCATCGAAAATGAAAAAAAAAAATTTAAAATTTTTTTTTTCGCCTCTTTTGTTTTTCGATGATTTTTTTGTGTGGCTGGCATCGAAAATGGAAAAACAAATTTAAGAATTTTTTTTTCGCCTTTTTTTATTTTTCGATGATTTTTTGGTGTGGCTGGCATCGAAAATGGGAAAATAAAATTTAAGAATTTTTTTTTTCGCCTTTTTTTTATTTTTCTATGATTTTTTTTTTTGTAGCAGGCATCGAAAATGGAAAAAAAAAAATTAAAAGTTTTTTTTTTCCATTTTTTTTATTTTTCGATGATTTTTTTTTGTGGATAGCATCGAAAATGGAAAAAAAAATTTAAAAATTTTTTTTTCGCCTTTTTTATTTTTCGATGATTTTTTTTTGTGGCTGGCATCGAAAATGGAAAAAAAAAATTAAGTTTTTTTTTCCATTTTTTTTATTTTTCGATGATTTTTTTTGTGGATGACATCGAAAATGGAAAAAAAAATTAAAAAAATTTTTTTCGCCTTTTTTATTTTTCGATGATTTTTTTGTGTGGCTGGCATCGAAAATGGGAAAACAAATTTAAGAATTTTTTTTTCGCCTTTTTTTTATTTTTCGATGATTTTTTTGTGTGGCTGGCACCGAAAAAGGGAAAAGAATTCTTTTTTTGTCATTTTTTATTTTTCGATGATTTTTTTTTGTGGCTGGCATCGAAAATGGAAAAAAAAAAATTTAAAATTTATTTTTTCCATTTTTTTATTTTTCGATGATTTTTTTATGTGGCTGGCATCGAAAATGGAAAAAAAAAATTTTAAATTTTTTTTTCGCCTTTTTTTTTTTTTTCGATGATTTTTTGGTGTGGCTGGCATCGAAAATGGAAAAAAAAATTAAATTTTTTTTTCCATTTTTTTATTTTTCGATGATTTTTTTGTGTGGCTGGCATCGAAAATGGAAAAAAAAAAATTTAAAATTTTTTTTTCGCCTTTTTTTTATTTTTCGATGATTTTTTGGTGTGGCTGGCATCGAAAATGGAAAAAAAAAATTAAAAATTTTTTTTTCGCTTATTTTAATTTTTTGATGATTTTTTGGTGTGGCTGGCATCGAAAATGGGAAAATAAAATTTAAGAAATTTTTTTTCGCCTTTTTTTATTTTTCGATGATTTTTTTGTGTGGCTTGCACCGAAAAAGGGAAAAAAATTCAAGAATTTTTTTTTTGTTTTTTTTATTTTCCGATGATTTTTTTTTGTGGCTGGCATCGAAAATGGAAAAAAAAAATTAAAATTTTTTTTTTCGCCTTTATTATTTTTCGATGATTTTTTGGTGTGGCTGGCATCGAAATGGAAAAAAAAAATTAAGAAGTTTTTATCGCCTTTTTTATTTTTCGATGATTTTTTTGTGTGGCTGGCATCGGAAATGGGAAAGAAAAATTTAAAAAAAATTTAAGCCTTTTTTTTCGATGATTTTTTGTGTGGCTGGCATCGAAAAAGGGAAAAAAATTCAAGATTTTTTTTTTGTCTTTTTTATTTTTCGATGATTTTTTGGTGTGGCTGGCATCGAAAATGGAAAAAAAAATTAAAATTTTTTTTTTTCCTTTTTTTATTTTTCGATGATTTTTTTTGTGGCTGGCATCGAAAATGGAAAAAAAAATTAAAAAAAATTTTTTCGCCTTTATTATTTTTCGATGATTTTTTTGTGTGGCTGGCATCGAAAATGGGAAAACAAATTTAAGAATTTTTTTTTCGCCTTTTTTATTTTTCGATGATTTTTTTGTGTGGCTGGCACCGAAAAAGGGAAAAGAATTTTTTTTTGTCTTTTTTTATTTTTCGATGATTTTTTTGTGTGGCTGGCATCGAAAATGAAAAAAAAATAATTTTAAATTTTTTTTTCCATTTTTTTATTTTTCCATGTTTTTTTTTTGTGGCTGGCATCGAAAATGAAAAAAAAAAATCCATTTTTTTATTTTTCGATGATTTTTTTTGTGTGGCTGGCATCGAAAATGGGAAAACAAATTTAAGAATTTTTTTTTCGCCTTTTTTATTTTTCGATGATTTTTTTGTGTGGCTGGCACCGAAAAAGGGAAAAGAATTTTTTTTGTCTTTTTTTATTTTTCGATGATTTTTTTGTGTGGCTGGCATCGAAAATGAAAAAAAAAATTTAAAATTTTTTTTCCATTTTTTTATTTTTCCATGTTTTTTTTTTGTGGCTGGCATCGAAAATGAAAAAAAAAATCCATTCTTTTATTTTTCGATGATTTTTTTGTGTGGCTGGCACCGAGAAAGGGAAAAAAAATCAAGATTTTTTTTTTGTCTTGTTTATTTTTCAAGATTTTTTTTGTGGCTGGCATCGAAAAAAAAAAAAAAGAAATAAATTTTTTTTTCCATTTTTTTATTTTTCGATGATTTTTTTTGTGGCTGTTATCAAAAATGGAAAAAAAAAAATTAAAATTTTTTTTTCCCATTTTTTATTTTTCGATGATTTTTTTGTGTGGCTGGCACCAAAAAAGGGAAAAAAATCAAGATTTTTTTTTTTGATGATTTTTTTTTGTGGCTGGCATCAAAAATGGAAAAAAAATTAAAATTTTTTTTTTTCGCCTTTTTTTATTTTTCGATGATTTTTTGGTGTGACTGGCATCGAAAATGGAAAAAAAAATTAAAAAAATTTTTTTCGCCTTTTTTTTATTTTTCGATGATTTTTTGGTGTGGGAAAATGGGAAAATAAAATTTAAGAATTTTTTTTTCGCCTTTTTCTATTTTTCGATGATTTTTTTGTGTAGCTGGCATCGAAAATGGAAAAAAAAATTCAAATTTTTTTTTCGCCTTTTTTATTTTTCGATGATTTTTTTGTGTGGCTGGCATCGAAAATGGAAAAACAAATTTAAGAATTTTTTTTTCGCCTTTTTTTATTTTTCGATGATTTTTTGGTGTGGCTGGCATCGAAAATGGAAAAAAAAATTAAAAAAAATTGTTTCGCCTTTTTTAATTTTTCGATGATTTTTTTGTGTGGCTGGCATCGAAAATGGAAAAACAAATTTAAGAATTTTTTTTTCGCCTTTTTTTATTTTTCGATGATTTTTTGGTGTGTGTGGCGACCCCTCGGTCGGCGCGCCTCACCACCTGGGTTAGATCAACCGTGCATTCACATCGAAATGATTTTTATCACCAGCTCGCGGTTGATGAAAACTGTCAAGTTACTGACAACGAACGGGAGCAGTGTGGCGTGCGTTTTTGAGGTCATTTTGGTCAAGTGCAAATTTATTACCCTACAATCTCTTACAAACTACAATTATTAAAAGCTAAAATAATAGTGAACTGTAATCTGAATTAAATTTACTTATACTCTAATATTGACAGTTAAGTGTAACGCTACGGTAAACAGTAAATTATAACATAACATTGAGTTGAAAACTTACAGTTAAAATCTCTTAAAGCTAACCTTAAAACTAGAGTAAAAATCTCTTTGTGGAACTATACATCGTGGAAATCAAACTGGGCTGCCGTATACGGTAATAGAAATATGAAACCAGAAAAGATAGATTATTAATATAATGAATTACAGCAAAAACACATATAGAGGACAGGAAAATAGGAACAAAGGTCGTTTTACCAACAATTGAAAACACTAAACGTAAGTAGCCACTGTGTACAATGTTTGAAAATTGCCTAATTAGCTACACTATTGTAGGATTTTTTTAATACACGCTAGTTATTAAAAAACCGGAATATTATTTCAATTCCCGTTGGCCGAGCGCCAACATCTTAAAAAAAATCGTTTATCCCCGTCCGGATAACGATGTCGAAGCGGAGTGAATCGGAAGCGACTAGTACCAGTTCCGATGCGGCAATGCCGGAAACCTGCAAGGCGTGCAACGGAACGGATGACTCCCGAATGGTCCAGTGCGACAAGTGTGACGACTGGTACCACTTCGACTGTGTGGGGGTGAATCAGGACGTCGAGAATCAAGATTGGCTCTGCTCGGTCTGCCAAGAGAAGCAGCAAGCCAAGAACAAGGAATCGACGGAACCTATTCCTCCTCCGGTGCCACCCGTAAGTACATGCGTCACCTGCCCGGTGAGTACTACCAGCATGATTCCGTTGAACTCCTCATCCGATGTAATGACGAGCACATCCGTCACATCATCCGTGATTTTTCCGCCAAATACACTATGTCCTCCATTCATGCAAAATGTGCCAATGCCATTCCACTCACTAATGCCACCCCACTCGCTCATGCCACCCCAGTCGTATATGTCGCCTTATTATTTGATGCCACCCAATCAGTCAATGCAAATTAATTGCCCTATGTCAATGCCACCAATATCGTCGTATCGTCTGTCAAGTTCGTACGCTTCGTTTTCGGGAGTGAACAACGGGTCATGTTATACAGTGCCATCAAGTTTCGCTCAGCCTATTCCGTCAGTGCCCAGCACCGTGCCACCAACGCCCAGTCATGTTGTACCAACGACCGTCCCAAGGGAAAGACTTCGAAAACAGCTACCGGAGCCACTGCATCCAGAGAATCCTCTGAAAACCAAGCAACAAGTTTTGGAGGATAACACGAGCCAGTATTCCGAAGCAAGTTCCAGAAGGTCCACCAAGCAGAGACAGTTGAAGTTGGAGTTGCAAATTCTGGACGAAGATAGGAAAGTACAGGAAGCAGAAGAAGCACACCGACGCGAATACATGCGCAAACGACACGAGCTGTTGAAGGAGATGATCAACGAGAATGGTTCGATGACCGATGGGGAGAAAGAGCGATCGGACAATAGGATAGCTGAGTGGCTTAATGGATCTTCTGACGCAGATATCTGTTCACAGAAGTCACACGATATCAGCAGATTTGGCGATCCAGAACCGATCCCAGCAAGAATTCGCCCTAACCAAGGTCCCAATCCACTACCAGTAGATCACCCAAGCGTGACTACAGGAAGCAGACATCCACGTTTTGACCAGCAGCCAGGCAATTTCATTCCGATTCTACGTTCTACTCCAAGACAGATGCCATCGGACGATGACAACAACTTGACACGTAATCAAGTCGCCGCTCGCCAAGCCGTTTCGCGAGAACTCCCCCAATTCAGCGGAACTCCGGAAGAATGGCCGTTGTTTTACTCAACGTTTACAACAACGACCACCATGTGTGGCTATACGCAAGAGGAGAATCTGATACGCCTGCAGAAGTGTCTAAAAGGGAAGGCGTACGAAGCGGTTAAGTGTAGATTGATGCATCCTGCCAACGTTATGGGAATTATATCTACTCTGAAGATGCTGTACGGAAATCCAGAGATTATCGTGCAGAATATGGTGACCAAGATCCATGCTACTCCAGCTCCGAAAGCGGATAGGTTGGATACACTCATCGAGTTTTCGCTGGCTGTGCAGAACCTGTGTGCTACGATCGACGCATGCCAATTGGAGGAGTATTCGTACAACGTTGCCCTGTTGCATGAACTTGTGGATAAGCTTCCTCCAGGGTTCAAAGTGGAATGGGCTAAACATCGTCGAACTATACCACGGGTGAATCTCGAGGCATTTTCGAAGTGGCTGTACGAGTTAGCGGAAGTAGTGTGCCCGATCGCAAATTTACAAATCAGCGAGTCAAAACCATTGCGTGGTAACAAGAAACCTCCTGCCTTCCTCAACGCGCACAGTGGAGAGACGTCATACAAGCTGGAAGACAAACTGCATCATCAAGTGAAGAGTGGCCCAGCCGGCTCCGACTCCAAGACGTGTGTGGTATGCAAGGGCAGCTGTCCAAATCTGGATAAGTGTCACCGTTTCAGTGAATTGGGGTACAACGCCAGGTGGGCTGCGGTGAAGGAGTTCGGGTTATGCCGGAAGTGCCTCCGGAAACACAACGGTACGTGTAAATCCAAGCAAGTTTGCGGGAAGAATGGGTGTACATTTAAACACCATCAACTTCTCCACAACAACCAACGTGATGGAGCTGCCACCAACGTTTCCAGAGCTTCGGGCGAGAACTCCGCTACAATTGCGCAAAACACTTCCGTTCGTGAATGCAATGCTCATCACAAATCCACAAACAAAGGACTTTTCCGAGTAGCGCCGGTTATCATCCATGGACCGGGTAAGTCCATCAAGACCTTTGCGTTCCTGGACGATGGGTCGTCACTCACACTTGTGGATTCATCGATAGTGCAGGAGTTGAAGCTACAAGGAAAATCGGAACCGTTATGCCTCAAGTGGACTGGCAACAAGAGGCGAATGGAGAGTGATTCAGTAAAGTTGGACCTTGAGATTTCCGGAACAGGAGAGATACAGAAGAAATATCGCCTCGCAGGAGCTCATACTGTTGCTAGCCTGGATCTGTTCCATCAATCCGTAGATATGCGAAAGCTGAGTGAACAATATTCTCATCTGAAGGGTATTCCGATCGAGTCTTATAAAAATATTCAACCACGAATCTTGATCGGAATCGATAACGCCAACCTCACATTTCCACTCAAGGGAAGGGAAGGAAAGATGTACGAACCAATCGCAACGAAAACGCGTCTTGGATGGATCGTCCACGGAGGTGCGGATACCGGAGAAGCTCTAGTGGGGCACCACAGCCACAGCGTCCAGACTTGCCCATGCAGCGAGCGGTCCGATGAAATGTTGCGGCAAGCTGTACGTGACTACTTCTCTCTGGATGGGCTTGGGATCTACAAGTCGGAAAAGCTTCTCATCTCTAACGCAGAACAGCGCGCGCAGCGAATACTGGAGTCAGCCACCCAGAAGGAAAGCGGTCGATACGAAGTTAGCCTTCTATGGAAGTTCGACGACATCAAGTTACCCAACAGCAAACCGGCAGCTTTACGGCGTTTCCATTGCTTGGAGGCTAGAATGAAGAAGCAGCCGGATCTAGCGGAAGTATTGCGAGAGAAGATCGAAGATTACCGACTGAAAGGGTACATCAGGAAACTTTCTGACGAGGAGTTGCAAACTTCACAAGAGCGGGTGTGGTATCTGCCGTTGTTCCCGGTGTTCAACCCAAACAAACCCGGAAAGGTGAGAATCGTGTGGGATGCAGCAGCTAAAACCAACGGTGTTTCGCTGAACTCAATGCTCCTGACAGGGCCGGACCTTCTCACACCGCTCGACTACGTTCTCTACCGGTTCCGAGAATTCCTAGTGGGGCTCAGTGGTGACATCAGGGAGATGTACTTGCAGGTGTTCATGTGCAAGAAGGATCAGCATTGTCTCAGAGTGCTCTGGTGCGACGACTCGTCTGGTGACCCAAGCATCTACGTGACACAAGTTATGCCGTTCGGTACCTGTTGTTCGCCAAGCTGCGCACAATACGTGAAAAACCTCAACGCCCGCAAGTTTGAACGAGAATATCCTGCAGCCGCTCAAGCGATCACCAAGCAACACTATGTGGACGACATGCTGGTGAGCGTCGAATCAGAACAGGAGGCCATTCAGCTCGCCAGGGATGTAAAATTCGTGCACGCTCAAGCTGGGTTCGATATGCGAAACTGGATTTCCAACTCACCTGCAGTCGTGGAGGCAATGAAGGAAGAGAAGACCAACGAGAAGAGCTTAAATCTCACGATGGAACTGGGAACAGAGAAGGTTTTGGGTATGTGGTGGTGTACGTCTACCGACACGTTCACCTACAAGCTTTCACCAAAGCATGACCGGCAGCTGCTCGAAGGTAAACGCAAACCGACGAAGCGGGAGGTTCTACGGACGTTAATGGCTGTCTTTGATCCGCTAGGACTGATATCGAACGTGCTCATCTACCTGAAGGTTCTCTTCCAAGAAGTTTGGCGAGCTGGCATCGGATGGGATGACGTGATTCCGGAAAGTCTCAACGAAAAATGGGAGAAATGGTTGGAGATTCTACCGAAGGTGCAGGACATCAGCATACCTCGCTGTTACCGTTCCTTGACGGAACTGAGTCCACACACGAACATCCAATTGCACACGTTTGTCGACGCAAGCCTGTCAGGCTACGCAGCGGTCGTTTATCTACGTTTTGAGCAGGGCAGCACTGTGGAATGTGCTATCGTAGGTGCGAAGACTCGGGTGGCTCCCCTCAAGTTTGTGTCCATACCGAGGTTGGAGTTACAGGCCGCGGTCATCGGAGTCAGGTTGGCTGATAGGATTACGAAGTCCTTGTCGTTCAAGGTTCATCAGCGGTTTTTCTGGAGCGACTCGCGTGACGTCCTGTGCTGGATCCGGTCAGATCATCGGCGGTATTCGCAATTCGTTGCATTCCGCATCAGTGAAATTCTGGAAACAACGAACATAGCAGACTGGGGTTACAAGCGGTCGAAGGAAAATGTTGCTGACGATGCTACCAAGTGGCAGGGTATGCCAAACCTCACCGAAGATAGCCGGTGGTTCAAAGGACCCAGTTACTTGTGGGAACGTCAAGACCGCTGGCCATCTAATCCGTACCGTGAAGCTGGCACCGATGAAGAACTCCGTGCAAATCTCTTCTACCATCAAGTGCAACCTCAACCAATCATCAACGTTCGCGAATATTCTTGTTGGGGGCGCCTGTTACGAGTCACAGCTACAATATTTAGAGCCGCACGCAACATGCGCAGCAACGCGAACAACACAGAACGCATCACTGGTCCGCTATCAGCTGAGGAACTGAAGCATGCAACTAACTATCTGCTTCGACTTGCTCAGGCAGAAGCCTTTCCAGACGAGATAAGTGTCCTTAGCGCGGGTGCTGCCAGCAAGGCGTTGCAAACGTCGAGTACGATTTACGTACTGAACCCTTTCATGGATGAGCAGAAGGTACTTCGGATGCATGGCAGGATCAACGCATGCGAGAACGCTTCCATGGACGCTAGGAATCCAATAATTCTCCCGAAAGATCATCATGTCACATGGCTCATAGTAAAGGATCATCATGAGCGGTACCATCATCAAAACCACACTACCGTCGTGAACGAGTTGCGGCAAACATTCCGGATCCCGAAGATCAGGCGGCTATTTCAACGAGTAAGAGCAAGCTGTCAGGAATGCAAAAACCTAAGGGCAGTCCCACGTCCACCTCCTATGGGCGACCTTCCTGAAGCAAGACTGGCGGCATTCACGCGGCCGTTTTCGTTCATTGGCATTGATTATTTCGGTCCTTTGTTGGTGGCAGTAGGGCGTAGAACTGAAAAGCGGTGGGGTGTGCTTATAACATGCATGACTATACGGGCGGTACATATTGAAATTGCACATTCGCTTAGTGCGAATTCGTGCGTAATGGCATTGAGAAACTTTATGGCACGGCGAGGCGTACCGAGAAAGATCTATAGTGATCGAGGCACAAACTTTACGGCAGCAAGCAAGGAACTTGTGGTGGCGAATGAGGATCTTGAGGCAGCGCTCACGGAGATGGACCAGGAGATGTTAATCAAGGAGATAGTCAGTCCCGAGACGGAATGGTCATTTCTTCCTCCAGCGTCTCCCCATATGGGAGGAGCCTGGGAAAGGCTAATACAGTCGGTGAAGAAGAATCTCTCAGCGATGAAACCAGGGCGAAATCCAACCGACGAAAGTCTCCGCAATATGCTGATCGAAGTGGAAAATATCATTAATTCCCGTCCGCTTACGTACGTTCCGGTGGAGGATCCAAGTGCTCCTGTATTGACACCCAACCATTTCCTGCTGGGTTCCTCCAGTGGTCTCAAACCATCCACGGTGTTCGACGATAGTGCAGTGGTTCTACGACGGTCATGGTGTGCATCACAGGTAGAGGCGAATATTTTTTGGAGACGATGGGTACGAGACTACCTGCCGGACCTAACCAAGCGAACAAAGTGGTTCAACGAGGTCAAGCCGATTGAAGTGAACGATATTGTGGTAGTAGTCGATTCTGGATTACCACGGAACTGTTGGCCTAAGGGAAGGGTCATCTCAGTCAACAAGGGTAAAGACGCACAGGTGAGGTCAGCGGCGGTTCAGACCCAGACGGGCATCTACGAGCGTCCGGCGACAAAGCTGGCCGTCCTTCAGGTTCGTCGCGATGAGGAGGTAAACCAAGGTCTTGGCGTACCCTGGGGGGAGTGTGGCGACCCCTCGGTCGGCGCGCCTCACCACCTGGGTTAGATCAACCGTGCATTCACATCGAAATGATTTTTATCACCAGCTCGCGGTTGATGAAAACTGTCAAGTTACTGACAACGAACGGGAGCAGTGTGGCGTGCGTTTTTGAGGTCATTTTGGTCAAGTGCAAATTTATTACCCTACAATCTCTTACAAACTACAATTATTAAAAGCTAAAATAATAGTGAACTGTAATCTGAATTAAATTTACTTATACTCTAATATCGACAGTTAAGTGTAACGCTACGGTAAACAGTAAATTATAACATAACATTGAGTTGAAAACTTACAGTTAAAATCTCTTAAAGCTAACCTTAAAACTAGAGTAAAAATCTCTTTGTGGAACTATACATCGTGGAAATCAAACTGGGCTGCCGTATACGGTAATAGAAATATGAAACCAGAAAAGATAGATTATTAATATAATGAATTACAGCAAAAACACATATAGAGGACAGGAAAATAGGAACAAAGGTCGTTTTACCAACAATTGAAAACACTAAACGTAAGTAGCCACTGTGTACAATGTTTGAAAATTGCCTAATTAGCTACACTATTGTAGGATTTTTTTAATACACGCTAGTTATTAAAAAACCGGAATATTATTTCAATTCCCGTTGGCCGAGCGCCAACAGTGTGGCTGGCATCGAAAATGGAAAAAAAAATTAAAAAAAATTGTTTCGCCTTTTTTAATTTTTCGATGATTTTTTGGTGTGGCTGGCACCGAAAAAGGGAAAAAAAATCAAGATTTTTTTTTTTGTCTTGTTTATTTTTCAAGATTTTTTTGTGTGGCTGGCATCGAAAAAGGGAAAAAAAATTCAAGAATTTTTTTTTCCTTTTTTATTTTTTGATGATTTTTTTTGTGGCTGGCATCGAAAATGGAACAAAAAAATTAAATTTTTCTTTCCATTTTTTTTATTTTTCGATGATTTTTTTTGTGTGGCTGGCATCGAAAATGGAAAAAAAAATTTAAAATTTTTTTTTCGCCTTTTTTATTTTTCGATGATTTTTTGGTGTGGCTGGCATCGAAAATGGGAAAACAAATTTAAGAATTTTTTTTTCGCCTTTTTTATTTTTCGATGATTTTTTTGTGTGGCTGGCACCGAAAAAGGGAAAAGAATTTTTTTTTGTCTTTTTTTATTTTTCGATGATTTTTTTGTGTGGCTGGCATCGAAAATGAAAAAAAAAAATTTAAAATTTTTTTTTCCATTTTTTTATTTTTCCATGTTTTTTTTTTGTGGCTGGCATCGAAAATGAAAAAAAAGAAATCCATTTTTTTATTTTTCGATGAATTTTTTGTGTGGCTGGCACCGAAAAAGGGAAAAAAAATCAAGATTTTTTTTTTGTCTTGTTTATTTTTCAAGATTTTTTTTGTGGCTGGCATCGAAAAAAGAAAAAAAAGAAATAAATTTTTTTTTCCATTTTTTTTATTTTTCGATGATTTTTTTTGTGGCTGTTATCAAAAATGGAAAAAAAAATTAAAATTTTTTTTTCCCCTTTTTTATTTTTCGATGATTTTTTTGTGTGGCTGGCACCAAAAAAGGGAAAAAAATCAAGATTTTTTTTTTTTGATGATAATTTTTTGTGGCTGGCATCGAAAATGGAAAAAAAATAAATTTCCATTTTTTTTATTTTTCGATGATTTTTTTTTGTGGCTGGCATCAAAAATGGAAAAAAAAATTAAAATTTTTTTTTTTCGCCTTTTTTTTATTTTTCGATGATTTTTTGGTGTGACTGGCATCGAAAATGGAAAAAAAAAATTAAAAAAAATTTTTTCGCCTTCTTTTTATTTTTCGATGATTTTTTGGTGTGGGAAAATGGGAAAATAAAATTTAAAAATTTTTTTTTCGCCTTTTTCTATTTTTCGATGATTTTTTTGTGTAGCTGGCATCGAAAATGGAAAAAAAAATTCAAATTTTTTTTTCGCCTTTTTTATTTTTCGATGATTTTTTTGTGTGGCTGGCATCGAAAATGGAAAAACAAATTTAAGAATTTTTTTTTCGCCTTTTTTTATTTTTCGATGATTTTTTTGTGTGGCTGGCACCGAAAAAGGGAAAAAAATTCAAGAATTTTTTTTTGCCTTTTTTATTTTTCGATGATTTTTTTTTGTGGCTGGCATCGAAATGGAAAAAAAAAAAAAAAATTTCCATTTTTTTTATTTTTCGATATTTTTTTTTGTGGCTGGCATCAAAAATGGAAAAAAAAAAATAAAAAATTTTTTTTTCGCCTTTTTTATTTTTCGATGATTTTTTTGTGTGACTGGCATCGAAAATGGAAAAAAAAAAATTAAAAAAAAAATTTTCGCCTTCTTTTTATTTTTCGATGATTTTTTGGTGTGGGAAAATGGGAAAATAAAATTTAAGAATTTTTTTTTCGCCTTTTTCTATTTTTCGATGATTTTTTTGTGTAGCTGGCATCGAAAATGGAAGAAAAAAAATTAAAATTTTTTTTTCGCCTTTTTTATTTTTCGATAATTTTTTTGTGTGGCTGGCATCGAAAATGGAAAAACAAATTTAAGAATTTTTTTTTCGCCTTTTTTTATTTTTCGATGATTTTTTGGTGTGGCTGGCATCGAAAATGGGAAAATAAAATTTAAGAATTTTTTTTTTCGCCTTTTTTTTAATTTTTCGATGATTTTTTTTTGTAGCAGGCATCGAAAATAGAAAAAAAAAATTAAAATTTTTTTTTTCGCCTCTTTTGTTTTTCGATGATTTTTTTGTGTGGCTGGCATCGAAAATGGGAAAATAAAATTTAAGAATTTTTTTTTTCGCCTTTTTTATTTTTCGATGATTTTTTTTGTGGCTGGCATCGAAAATGGAAAAAAAAAATTAAAAGTTTTTTTTTTCAATTTTTTTTATTTTTCGATGATTTTTTTTTGTGGATGGCATCGAAAATGGAAAAAAAAAATTAAAAAAAATTTTTTCGCCTTTTTTATTTTTCGATGATTTTTTTGTGTGGCTGGCATCGAAAATGGGAAAACAAATTTAAGAATTTTTTTTTCGCCTTTTTTTTATTTTTCGATGATTTTTTTGTGTGGCTGGCACCGAAAAAGGGAAAAGAATTTTTTTTTGTCTTTTTTTATTTTTCGATGATTTTTTTTTGTGGCTGGCATCGAAAATGGAAAAAAAAATTAAAATTTTTTTTTCGCCTTTTTTTATTTTTCGATGATTTTTTGGTGTGGCTGGCATCGAAAATGGAAAAAAAAATTAAAATTTTTTTTCGCCTTTGTTTATTTTTCGATGATTTTTTTCATGTGGCTGGCATCAAAAATGGGAAAATAAAATTTAAGAATTTTTTTTTCGCCTGTTTTTATTTTTCGATGATTTTTTTTGTGGCTGGCATCGAAAATGGAAAAAAAAATTAAAAATTTTTTTTGCCTTTTTTATTTTTCGATGATTTTTTTGTGTGGCTGGCATCGAAAATGGGAAAACAAATTTAAGAATTTTTTTTTCGCCATTTTTATTTTTCGATGATTTTTTTTGTGGCTGGCATCGAAAATGGAAAAAAAAATTATAAATTTTTTTTTTTCCATTTTTTTATTTTTCGATGATTTTTTTGTGTGGCTGGCATCGAAAATGGGAAAACAAATTTAAGAATTTCTTTTTCGCCTTTTTTTTATTTTTCGATGATTTTTTTGTGTGGCTGGCACCGAAAAAGGGAAAAGAATTTTTTTTTTGTCTTTTTTTATTTTTCGATGATTTTTTTTTGTGGCTGGCATCGAAAATGGAAGAAAAAAATTTAAAATTTATTTTTTCCATTTTTTTATTTTTCGATGATTTTTTTTTGTGTGGCTGGCACCGAAAAAGGGAAAAAAAATTCAAGAATTTTTTTTTGTCTTTTTTATTTTTTGATGATTTTTTTTTGTGGCTGGCATCGAAAATGGAAAAAAAAATTAAATTTTTTTTTTCCATTTTTTTATTTTGCGATGATTTTTTTTGTGTGGCTGGCATCGAAAATGGAAAAAAAAATTTAAAATTTTTTTCGCTTATTTTAATTTTTCGATGATTTTTTGGTGTGGCTGGCATCGAAAATGGGAAAATAAAATTTAAAAAAATTTTTTTCGCCTTTTTTTTATTTTTCGATGATTTTTTTGTGTGGCTTGCACCGAAAAAGGGAAAAAAATTCAAGAATTTTTTTTTTGCCTTTTTTATTTTCCGATGATTTTTTTTTGTGGCTGGCATCGAAAATGGAAAAAAAAATTAAATTTTTTTTTTTCGCCTTTATTATTTTTCGATGATTTTTTGGTTTGGCTGGCATCGAAATGGAAAAAAAAATTAAGAAGTTTTTTTCGCCTTTTTTATTTTTCGATGATTTTTTTGTGTGACTGGCATCGGAAATGGGAAAGAAAAATGTAAAAAAAAATTGAGCCTTTTTTTTCGATGATTTTTTGTGTGGCTGGCATCGAAAAAGGGAAAAAAATTCAAGATTTTTTTTTTGTCTTTTTTATTTTTCGATGATTTTTTGGTGTGGCTGGCATCGAAAATGGAAAAAAAAATTGAAATTTTTTTTTTCCTTTTTTTTATTTTTCGATGATTTTTTTTGTGGCTGGCATCGAAAATGGAAAAAAAAATTAAAAAATTTTTTTTCGCCTTTATTATTTTTCGATGATTTTTTTGTGTGGCTGGCATCGAAAATGGGAAAACACATTTAAGAATTTTTTTTTCGCCTTTTTTATTTTTCGATGATTTTTTTGTGTGGCTGGCACCGAAAATGGGAAAAGAATTTTTTTTTGTCTTTTTTTTATTTTTCGATGATTTTTTTGTGTGGCTGGCATGGAAAATGAAAAAAAAAATTTAAAATTTTTTTTTTCCATTTTTTTATTTTTCCATGTTTTTTTTTTGTGGCTGGCATCGAAAATGAAAAAAAAAATCCATTTTTTTATTTTTCGATGATTTTTTTTTGTGTGGCTGGCATCGAAAAAGGGAAAAAAATTCAAGATTTTTTTTTTGTCTTTTTTATTTTTCGATGATTTTTTGGTGTGGCTGGCATCGAAAAAGGGAAAA